AAAGATAATCTTGCTGGGTATAGTATTCTTGGTTGAAACTGTTTTTCACTTAACACTTTAAATATATTTTCCCATTCTTTCCTTGCTCATATTGTTTCTGATGAGAGGTCTGAAGTTAGCCTGATAGGATAACCTTTGTAAGTAACCTGATGTTTCTCTCTTGCCAATTTTAGTATCTTGTCTTTGTCTGTAGATTTGACCAGTCTGGCTATGATGTGCCTTGAAGAAGATCTTCTTGGGTTGATTCTATTATGGGTCCTTTGTATATCTTGGGTCTGGATATTTGAATGCCTCTTTAGATTTGGAAAGTTTTCTTCCAAGATTTCATGGAATAGATTATCAATGTTCTTGTTAGTTTCTTCAACTTCTGGGATACCAATTATCTGAATGTTTGGGTGCTTAATGCTGTCTAGTATTTCTTATATAGTATTCTCATTTTGGGGGGTTATTTTCTCAGTTTTTGTTGTTGTTGTTGTTGTTGTTTTCTAGATCAGAGGTTTTACCTTCAACATACAAGATTCAATTTTCTGCATGGGCTAATCTGCTTTTAATACTTTCAAGAAACATTTTGATTTCCTGAAGGGTAGCCTTCATCTCTAATAGCTCCATTTGATTCACTTTCATGGTGTGTATTTCCTCTTTCATTTCATGAAAGAACTTCAACACCTCCTGGAACTCTTTATCTCTTTTTTCCTGTATCTTCTTGAGTTCATTATCTCTCAGCTCTTGTATCTCATTTAGTTTTGTCAATATGAATATTCTGAAGTCTTTATCAGACATTTCTAAGAATTCTACTGTACTGTTTGTAGATGATGAGCTATTGTTCTTTTCCCTTGTGAGAGAGGTATTTTCTTGGTTTCTCATGTTTCTTCTACCTCTGCAGTTGTTTCTGGTCATTCTGTGACAAAATCTCTCCTCCACCATGCTTGTCTGAATATTTTGGGAGTCTAGGAGTCTAGGAGGTGGGTTTAGAGCATGTCTTCCCTGAACACACCAGGACACACCTCCAATTTTTTTTTTTTAAATTTTATCATGCACTCACCAGAAAGAGGCAGAGAAAGACAGAGAAAGGGAAAGTAAGAAATCATCCCTCAGAGGGACTGGCCATGCCACAATCCCTTCTCCTTCATTGCCTTCTTGGGATTTTGGGTGTCCATACACAAGTACCTTGTGTGTCCTTCAGATCGCCAAGTCTAAGACTAGAACTCATGGTCGGCCATGTAGGATCCAGCTGCCCTAACCACTACACCACTGGCTGGTCCCAGGGTGATCATTTTTAAATTTGGGAGAAATTAATTACATTTTCTTTCTGCTTAGAAGTTTCTTCCTCTTTCAGAATAAAAGCCAACACCCTTGAAAAGGACCGCCTAATATGGCTTCCAGTATCCTCTGGTCCCATTTTTTTTAGCACTCTGTCCCTTATGTACTCTATTCCAGCCATGGTACCTTCTTAATGTTCCTGGAACATGCCAAGATCCTCTTAACCTTGAGCTTACATCTGAAATATGCTTTGTATAGATACATTCATGGGTATCCCTTCACTTCTTTCAGGTATTTGCTTAAGTGCCATCTTCTTTGTGAAGTCTTGCTCTGCCTCCTGATGTGAATCTGCAATGCTCTCTCTCTGGTCCCCCACACCCAGTCTTCTGGTATCATTTATTGCCCTTAATTATTTGAATGTCCTTCCTAGAACACACATTAGCACCACACAGACAGGCAGTTGGTTTGTTTTGCTTGCTACTATATCACCAACACCTAGAGTGGAGCACTGTAAGTACTTTATAAATATGTGTTGAATAAATGAATAAATGTCTGAAGATTGATAGCAAATTGCAAGTGGGACATCAGAGAAACCCATCTGCCTGGGCTCTGTTCTTACCTCTGCTCTTACTGATTGTGTAATTTGGGCAAGTTATTTTATCTCTTTGGGCTTCAGTTTTCTTACCTTAAATTGAAGGTAGTCACTATACCTCTCTCATAGATTTGTGGAAAAGATTGAGTATGAAGTATTTATCTCATGGCAAGTTGTTCAAATGTGTTATCTCATTAATAGAGCATCTTCCATATGTATGGTAGGTAAGCCATTTTCAGAATAGTCCCTGACAACTTACTTCAGAATCACCTGTGATCTGTTTAAAATGTAGCTTTCTGAGTTTCAATGGAATAATATGAGACGGATCCTGGAAGACCTTCATTTTCACAAGCACGCCAGCTGATTTTTGCTTATTAGTACTTATTAAAGTACTAAAAGTATGTGTGATAGAGAGGAGTAATGGATAATACCTAGAGAATGGCAGTGTTGGCCGTGAGGTTAGATCAGGATGAGGGGGCCCTACTATAGAAAACCAGAGGGAGGGGCTTTTCTCTCTTACCAGGTGGTGAATCTGATGGTGATGGGCAGGATTGGGATGTGGGCAGTGCAAATAGACTGGCCTTCTAGCTGCTGCTGATTAGCAGTGATCTTATTCTGAGATGGGAATTGGTACTCATGCCTAATTGTCTCCTTGTCCTTGGCAGTGGAATGTTCTATGATGGGAATCACACATATCTTATTGAGCCAGAAGAAAATGATACTGCCCAAGTAAGTGATCCTTCTGTTTGTCCTGGCAATTATGAATGTTGGTACTGAAAGCTTTTTCTTCTCCCCTTTTTCTTTCTACTTTATTTCATTTTATATTTTTAGAGGTTAGGATAGTAAATATATGTATTTTAAACTAAATATTGAATAAGTGAAAACCATGTTTGTAAGAATTTCTTTTATCTCTTAATACTTTTACTCTGTGGTTTTCTAAAGCCTTCATTTCTCTCTCTCTCTTTTTTAAAGAATTATTTATTTAATTTTAATTACTATTTTTAAATTTGACCAGAGAGACAGAGAGAGAGAGAGACATAGAGGGAAAAATCAGAAAACAAGTTGCCAGGTCCAAGACTCAAACCATAGTCAGCCATGTGGGAGTCCAGTGCCTTAACCACCATGCCACTTGCTGGCCTTTTTAAAACCTTCATATCTGTCTCCACTATAATGTGCTATGATCTGCCCTAATTTGCTTGACTGCTATAGCAAAGTGCTTACGGTTGGGTGGCTTAAACCACAGAACTTTACTTTCTCACAGTTCTGAAGACTAGAGATCCTAGATCAAGATATCATCAATGTTGATATCTGGTGAGGGCTGTCTCCTTGGGTTGTAGATGGCCATGTTCTGACTACCCTCACATGGCAGAATGAATGTGCTCTATTGTTCTTTTCCTGTACTCATAAGGGTACCAGCCATGGGATATGAAGGCCCAACCCGTATCACCTCATTTAACCTTTATCACCTCCTCATAGTCTTATCTCCAGATACTGTCACACATTCAGTTAGAGCTTCAGCAATGACTTTTGAGGGGACATAAAAATTTGGTTCATAGAAGATCAAATCCACAAATAAGTGATTTACCCTTTTCTCTTTCTAGAGTCCAGATTTTTTTCCCATTTCCTTTAAGGCCATATGCCAATGAAATTTAGAGAAACCTAGGTCTTCTTAATTCTCACCCTCATTCTAAGTTGACATATTCATTTTCCACAAATTAGAAAAGGATTGAATTAATATCATAGAATACAGAGAAACATAATATACTTCTCTTCTAGCTCTGTGCACATAAATGCTTTTTTTCTCGATTTCATACATTGGCCAGACACTCAGAGGCAAGTGATTTTAAGAGACGTAAATTGTTTTGTTACCTGTAAACATTCTTATTTGGGAAACTATGTATATTATACATTATTTTTTTGGTAGCCACTACTGGTTGTTCTGTCTTTTTGTTTGAAAGTATAATACTCTATATTTTTAAAGGTAATATCATGAAAACAGTATTTTTGGCAGTCTCTCTCTCTTTTTAAAAGTAATTGCAGCCAGATGCAATTATTTTAATAGTCATTAATTTTTCTTAGAAGAAAAACATGACCTTTAATCTCTTGCTTTTTAATAGGACTTTGTGTGACACTCCAGTTTTAGACTAAGCAGGGTCTGCTTTGGGCTTCTGCTATACCTGTCATCCTGTTCCCAGATACCAGGAAGATTGTGAGCTCAGCAGCCCTTTCCTACCAAAGCTATGTGGCTCTTAAAAGGGGGCAGGGATCTTTGAAACAAACCCGTCATTAAAAGACATTAGTCCATTTTCCCAGATGTCTTGCTTTTCCTTAGGGGAAAGGTCCATTCATTTATTTTCCATTACTGCAGGCTTTGGCTTCTTTGTCTGTGAAGGCATTTTGCTTCTAATTGGATATTTCTCTGTGCTGGAAGAATACTGGAATGAATGGGAGGGGTTGTGCAATGGCTCATGGCCTCTTTAAACCTAGGAGGGTGCATAGTCAAGCTAAGATTCTTTTAAGGATCTCAGTCTCTCCAACTGTGATTGCCTGAGGCCAGAGATAACTGGTTGTACATGTTTAATCTCTGTTGCTTGTGTCATTTCAGGAGGATTTCCATTTTCATTCTGTTTACAAATCCAGACTATTTGAATTTCCCTTGGATGATCTTCCATCTGGTATGACATTAATATAGTGACATTTTTTTAAAAGGACAACTTCAATAGTTTATATACTACCTTAGAACTAATCTGTATGTGAAACATCACTAGCCCACGACTGTGCCTATCAATTTTTGAGGAAAGTCAGTCACATCAAGGAGAGAATTAAATGCAAACTGTTTATAGTGAATGAATGTAGAAAGATATGGCTTTGAAGGAAGGAAAACTAAAAATGTTAAGTCAAAATGAGATACTAGAGGAGAAATATTGTTAGAGCAAGAATTGGTCTGTATGGATGAAATATATAAAGTCACTCCTGTTGAAATACTAGTTTTGTAAACATTTAGATAAGTTCTTTATCATTTTCTTACATGTTATTTTTCTCTCATGTCTCTCTCTCTCTCTTTTTTTTTTGCCATAGCATTTTTAAAAAGAATAATTAGAGATTACTCTTTTTTACTACGTGCTATTTATAAGATGAGTTTTTGCTCTTCTCATGTATGTTTATAGGTTCATTTATCTATAGACGTTGATTTGACGTGACAGGAAGGGCTAAGCCCTCATATTTGTCCTCATTAGTAGAGCAGTGATTATTTAGGGGCATTTGTTTTTTGCTGTGCTTGACTTATTGGTTTTCTCCTTCTGAAGACAGGCCACACTGAACATCCAATGTGGAAAGAGGCTTCCTCCCCTATTTAATGACTCCTGACCATTCTAAGTTTTTTTTTAAGTTTTTTTTTTCCCCATAAGAGAGAGCAAGAGATTGAGAAAACAAGAGAAAGAGAGAGAAAGACAAATGGGTAGATGCCCCTCAGTAGAGCTTTGTTACACCTGCGACCTCCTTCCCCCAGCCCTACAGCCAGTCAAGATCTTGGACAGGCCCAAGACATGTGTTAGGTCAACCTGGAGACCAAACCTGTGTCAGCCATGTGGTGTCTAACATTGCAGATAAGTAGGCCACTGCCTATGCCTTCAAGACTGGGCTCCATTCCAATATTTAATCTCATTTCATCTTTGCAATAGCTTTGTAAGGTCCATATGATTCCCGTTCCGTAGATGAAGAAATGAGGCTCAGCTAGTTTGTCTTTCCCAGGGTCCCCAGGTAGTAGGCGACAAAGCTGGACTTTGGATTAGGATACCATGAGTGAGTTAGAGGCACAAAAATTGCCAGCCTGTGAGCAAATTCTAAATTACTGCATAGAAAATCACTTAGAAATTTACATTGTCTCTTTATGATAAAATAAGTGTTTTCTAATGTCCCTTCCTCCCTGAAATACATTTGTAATGGTCTGGCCTTCTGTGGTTCCCCTAAAAAGTAATACTCCCTTTTTCCTTCAGAGAGATAGAAGATGCTATCTTATAGAATTCACTTTTTTGAAAAATCTGCAAATGAGCATGAAAATGCTCTTACTAGAACAGACTCTTCAGACTATTTGTTCATTTACCTTATGAAACTTTTACAGACCCTGTTATGGGAGGAAAATAAATCGTGACTAGCTGCCTGGGAATAAAACTATAATTTAGTAGGTATTACTGGAAGCAATCAACATTAATTAATATTTAAAGTAATAAATATTTTCACTAAAGACTTGATTGTAGTCATGCTATAACCCTTAAAAAAAAACACCTTTGTTCAGGGTTTCTTTTTAACATAAACTTTAGAAGTGACTTGGCAGTTTTTCTGTTATTAAAATGATTTTTAGACATGCTCTTTGAAAACTCAGATTTGTCTCAGTTCATTCCTAGTTTTGTGTGTTCATCAGAAGTTAGCATTGTCCATTTTAAGAGTGTTTTTTGTTTCCCAAGATTACTTATGATTTACTATGATGTATTAGAAGAAAACAATAGACAAATCTCAAAACTGCAATTTTTGTGAAATAAACTTGAAAGTAAGCTTGTTTATGTTAGGTTGAATAAAGTTTAACTTGATTTGGGATTATCAGCTGTTTTATCTTGCTAAGTGTTAATGTTTTGGAGGGCCTCAAATCTGGAGTGCCTGCCCATGATGTTTACCAATTTTGTTGTTGTTTAGAGAGATTTTTGCTACAGGGCACATGTATTCACCAGAGAGACAGAGAGAGAGAAAGCAAGAAATCATCCCCTAGGGGGATGACCACAGCACAGTCCCTTCTTCTTCATTCTCCTCTTGGGATTTGGGGCACACACCCTCATGTTCCCGGCATGAGCTACAAGTGGCTGGGTCAAGGACTTGAACCGCACTTAACCATGTGGAAGTCTAGCACCTTAACCACTATGCTACCTGCTAGACTCAATGTTGACTGATTTTAAAGAACACACTCAGAAGTCCGGCAAAGACACAAGTTTACTTACTCAGGAAGCTCCACTGATAGCCATCAGTGAATACAGGCTCAGGTTTTATCCACCAAAAACAAAGCATGTGTAAGTCAAGTAAAGACATATGTTGGTTAGGGATTTTAATACAAGATCAGCTTATTAATTAATAGAGTCAGTAGAGTATGTCTGTGTTAGTGTCTAGAGTTTAGTGTTTCTAGTTGTGTGATGTTTACTGTAGGGGAGGTGTGAGGCATACCTCCAGAACACCCCAGCCACAGACCAGTTTCATGAGATAAGGGAATGGCCATGAGGGGCTCACAGGATTTAGCTGAGCCAGCAGCTGGATCTCAGAGGAAAAGGGCAAAGAGGGAATGGGAAGGAGAGCTCAGTGAATGGATTTTACCCTCAGTTACAGATTTCCCAGAGGTAGAAATATGGTCAGGTATTCTCTAGACTTGTTTGGCTGTGGGACCTTTTGTTTTACCTGGCATATCTTTTAGGACTATTGTTTCTAAGAAGCCCTTTCTGACCCAAATAACAGCCCCTTGCCACAGTACTCCCTTGATGACCCATTTTTTGGAACCCCTCCCTTCCTGAGAGTTCTGTTTTTCCTTCCCTCTCCTTTAATAAACTCCTCACTTTGCTATACTTACAAAGAAAAAATAAAAACAAAACAGAACATACTTAGGGAAAAGCCTGTTTCCTACGTATTCCTTAGCACTCCATTTTAAAAAAGTGATCTGCAGTGAAATACACAAATCTTGTCTATTACTCGGTGAGTTTTGACATGTAGACCTCCCCTGAGCTATAGAGTACTTTCACTCCCACATACCTTCCTTTGTGCCTCGCCTGGTCAGTGTCTCCCACCACCTCTGCAATCCCTCTTCTGACTTTTGTCACCATAGGTTAGTTTTGCCTGTGGTAGAGCTTCATACAAATGGAATTATATATTATTGTCCAGCTTTTTCTTACTTAGCATGTGCTGTCACACATGTTATGTTGTCAAGAGTAGCAATAGTTTCTTCTTTTCAATATTGAGTGTGTTTTATTATATGAATACACTGTAATTTATAAGCTAGTCTGTTGATGGACATTTGATTAGTTTCCAGTTTGGAGCTATGAATAAAACAGTTATAAACATTCTTGTACAAGTCGTTTTTATGGACACTTGTTTTCATTTCTCTTGGCAATTACTTAGGAATAACATTGCTGGGCCATATGGTAGGTATAGACTTCACATGTTGCAGTGTTCTCCAACCTTGGCATGCATCAGGATCACCTGGAGGACTGATCACAGATGCCGGCTTAGCTCAGTTTTAATTCAGTACATCTTGGATTTTGTTGTTGTTGTTGTTGTATTTGAGATTTTTGCTATAGGTTGCATTTGCTCACCAGAGAGAGAAAGATACAGAGAGACAGGAAGCGAGAAATCATCTCCCTACCCCAGAGGGGTTGGCCATAATGCAATTCCTTTTTCTCCATTCTCCTCTTGGAGATCAGCCATGTGGGAGTCCAATGACATAACCATTATGCCATCTGCTGATGCCCATCTTAAATAGTTTTTGAGAATTTGCTTTTCCAACAAGTGCCCAGGTGACCCGATGCTGTTGATGCAGATATTACACTTTGAGAATCAGTGTTTCATGACAAATGACTGAACTTTTTCCCAAAGTGGTTATACCATTTTTTATTTATAGCAGCACTATGTGGAGTTCTTATTGCTCCACATCTTCATCAACTTCTGGTGTGTGTTCTTTAATTTTTGCTATTGTAGTGAGTAGCGGTATCTCACCTTGGTTCGATTTTATATATTCTCATGGTTGGTGATGTGTAGTGTATGCTTATTACTGTTAATCGAAGGGCCTTTGTACAGCATCATTCCGTGGTGGAAAGCAGACCAGCAAGTGAGTTCAAGAGACAGAAAGGGAGCCAGAGTGATCCTTTCTTTCATCAGGAGCCTACTCACACAATACCTAACCCACACCTAGGATAATGGCATTCACCCAATTGTGAGAGCAGACATCCTTAAGTAATCATTACTTCAAGATTTCACCTCTGTGTACCATTAGAATGCAATTAAATTTCAATATGTGATTTGCAGGGGACACTCAACCTCTGGTGGATGGGCTGGTAAAACTTTGCCTTGTCTTGGGGCCAGCAGATGGCACAGAGGTTATGTCACTGGACTCCCACATAGCTGACCTTGGTTCGAGTCCTGGACTTGGTGGCTTGAAACTCATGCCAGGCATGTGTGCATGCGGGCCCAAGATCGCAGGAGAATGGAGAAGAGATTGTGGTGTGACTGTCCCCCTTGTGGGGTGATTTCTCACTTTCCTCCTTACTGTCTCCACCTACCCCATGAATTCACTTGCCCTAAGGCAAAAACCTCTACCCCCCCCCCCAAAAAAAAAACACACACACACACAAAAATCCACATTGCATTAAAGAAATCTGGCAAATGACCTTAGTTGATATAATTCATTTTTATTTCTTTTTAGAATTCCAACAAGTAAATATCACTCCACCAAAATTTATTTTAAAGCCAAGACCAAAAAGGAGTAAACGGCAGGTATGTGTTCACAGGTATATATTTTGATACTTTAAAGCAGTTGGCAAATGCCGATCATTTGAATCTACAGTAAGTGTCTGTGGGAGAATGAGGAATAGTTCAGGCATTTGTCAGCGTGGGGTAGACAAACAGGAAAGGCAACAGATCTGTGGGAGCAGTGGAAGTAGGGCCATATTACTTCATAAGCTCAAAAATGATTCCAGATAGTGGAAATGATGTTGTTTTTCAAGATACCTATCCAAAAAATCCTATTTTCTCAATACGTAAATCATGAAAGTAATAGTTTCAAATGAAATCATGATGATAGGTATTTTTATCTATTGGATTATCTAAAAAGTCATGACATATTTTTCTGTTTTTCTATGTAAAAATGTGTCATGACTTTCCCAGTGACCCAATAATTTGACTTCAAGATAATGTGTCTCTTCATATACTCTGTGTGTATGTGTGCATATGTGTGTGTATTCACATTTATCACGCTCATGGCAGTAATGCATGGAACACATGGAACAAATGGGTCCCCATTTTGCTAATGAAAATAATGAAGCATAAGAGGCTTAAAGCATGCCCAAGGTCACAGAGGATAACCTAATAGTGGAGCTGGGATTCTGATCTAGGAAGAAATCTGGCCTCAGAAAGGTTGGCTCTGTATATACTGCTTCTCAGAAGCTCCCATGAGTTACTCTCATGAGCTTTTTACATATGCTGTGAATACACACACACACACACACACACACAAACACACACACACACATACACAATATGAATAGCTGCAGAGACATATATTATCTTAGAGTCCAGTTAGCTAAAAATAATTACTATCACAATGTAATTCAAAGCATTTATTTTTATGATTTATAAACTGAGAAAACAGGATAATATTCTTTTCTTCTTTTTGTTTTTCTTGGAGAAATTTTTGCCATAGGGCATATGCCCTTTCCTGAGAGAGAGAAAGAGAGAGTGAGAAATCACACCCCAGGGGTGATGGTCATGCCACAATCCCTCCTCCTCCATTCTCCTCCTGGCATTTTGGGCACATACACACACCCCTCTGGCATGGGTCTCAAGCCACTGGGTCTAGGATTCAAGCTGCAATCAGCCATGTGGGAGTCCAACACCTTAAGCACTATGCCACCTGCTGGCATAGGATAGTATTCTTTTGACATGTGCTTTGAAGTTATTCATAAGCATCTCAATATCTGCTCATTTGCTAAGCAGACAAACTCTTGACTTCTCTTTCTGAGAAAGCTGTGAACTCTTGGAGGTGAGATGCAGTAAAACTGTATGGCCAATATGGCAACTCTCTGAATTAAGAGAAAGTTAGGACTTGTTGGAAAGTTTACAGTATTACCTAGTAAGTCTTTCCCACAGTTAACAAAAAAGATTCTATCATCCTAAAAACACTCACTATAAAAGAAAAGACTCTTGTCATTAGATGCAGTTTAGGATTACTCTTTGGTTTCTAACCTCTGAATTATATTATTTTTTTATTAATGTGGTGTTAGTTTTTTTTAAAAACTTTTGAAATGTAGAAATGTAGAGACAAAAATCCATGTGGTAATATTATTTTAGTTTGTTTTAAACGCAGCACTAAAACACATGTGTTGATGAAGGTTCGATTGTATACCTTTATCACAAAAATGGTCCATGTGCAAGTGAACAAAAAAAAATGTTGAAAAATGTATATTGAGCTATGAGATAAGGAAAAGTTAATTTTACAAGTCTTGTTAAAGATTGTGATATAAACTGACTTCAGAGAACAAAGGGAATGGTTGCTTTAGTGACTCTTATTATAACATTTATTTTGAAGGTGAAGATTGTTGTTGAACTCTAGAAGAGTCTGGATATAATTAAAAAGCAAAGATTACCTGGGCATTGCCAAAGCTATCCTAATAGAGTCCCTGTGTATTTTAGGGGATCTCCTGAACCATACCAGAGGAAGGGAGATTTTTCACTCTCCGTTTGGAGAATGTAGGATAAAAGTGCCAGTCACCCACTCTCTGTACCCTCTCAGACATTCTCAGGACCTTAAATTAAAGCAGAAAAAATTGCTCTTCATGTGTTACTGTTTCCAGGACATACAGTTACATGAAAATGGCTGATGCAGGAGAAAGTGAAATAAGTGGAAGTACAAAATAAAGTATATATTCATATTTAATTTTATACACGTACATATTTTGGGAGAAACTAGTAATTTATTGTGC